ACTATGCAATTTTGGATTTGGTAAAGATCAGAAAGCTGGGGTCGTTATCAAATTTTTTATTAACATACATTTTCATAAATCATAATGGATATTAGAGTTCAAATTCACCAATCCATAAATGGTATTGAGATATCGTTATTGCTTTTGGTTAATATCAAAGAGTCAGTTCAATATTCCCCAATCAGAGAAGTGTCTTATTTTAAATAAGCGGACGATCACAGTTGCCAGGCCACATGAAGACATGCTTGCATTATGGACATATACAATGTTTGATTTTTGAGCCAATTACGAATAATTATTTGAATTTTAATGAAACCTAGCGAACAACATTTACAATATTTTATGAATACATTTAAAAACAAAGCCCCAGCTTTGTGACCTTCACTATACTGTTATATTTATGTTAAAAAACCTCAAGATTTGAAAATATCAGCCATCAACTTGTTGGCAGTCTTCAACATTTTGGATTATGTTATTACAGTTTCAACTATGACACGAGTGTAACAGGTGTACATAGACATTAAAAGGAAATGGTCGCATTAAAATATTTTAAGATACTCCAATGTTTACAATTAAATCTAATAAAAAAGTTTCTATAAAAAGAATGAGAGGTTGAAACTGAAACTCCCATGATGCAATTCAATTACTGATTCATTCCTAGGGAACAATGGTTCCACATTGAAACCATGATGTCATGGTTACTTTGTATTTGACTGCATTGTTTGAAATGTGTTTCAAATCAGTCTGGAACAGTGACTCAGCTTTCACTCGGAGAGTTCCCCTATTTCTAATTTTTAATAGCATGGGAGCGGGGGGGGGGGGGGGCAGCACTATTACACTGACGATGACAGAATTTACATCGAGGCACATAAATGCCCCTGTACTTTCCCGGATGAAATTTCAATGGAAAAAAAAATATTCCAAAGTGCAGACAATAGGAACAGACTTGAGGTACATTTGTAGGACGATATAGAAAGATAGTTGACAATATATGCAGCATTAAATAATATATTGAAATCAATTAAAAAATTAAAACAGTCTATTGGCTAATATAGCAAAGTTCATTGAGACTTAAGAATCCACAAAATTGAAATTAATGGTACTAAAAAAATTAATTACTAACAATTAACTGGAAATAAAATTATTATTGAAACAAGGAATACATTTGATTGTACATCTATGGTTTGTGGTCTGGTAGGCATACTGGAACACCTATGTACCAAGTTTTGTTTAAATCTGTTTCATGACATAACTGAGTAACAGCTGAAAACTAGCCAATTAATGTAAATTAGGCAATTAATATGTATAGATGTCAATGCGAAACTAATGACATATGTGGTTTACCCTGGAACACCTTAGTGGGTGCCAAGTTTCATTAAAATCTATGGAGCATTTTTTGAGATGTAAGTGAAAAGTTGATGATTGCCTAATTATGCACAAATTTTTACTAAAAATAATCTTGAAGTTTGAAGACTTCATGCATGTTGAGAAAATCACAATATTTTTGTCTCAAGTGAATCTGTAAATGTTCCTGAGGGCACTGTGTAAGAAAAAATCAGTAACTTCAGAGTAAAAACAAAAGTATTCGGAACATCACCTAATGAGGGCACACTTACCTCATCAAGGCATCGTTCATACTGATCTCTTTGGGTCTCATTCTCTAGCACCAGTGACGAGTTTTCATTTTCTAAGGCACGTAATCTTTCAAGCAACAAAGACTTCTCTTTTCGATTCTCTTCATGATTCAACTGCGAGGATAACAAAAGAAAAATAAATTTTTGTTACAAAACTTGATAGAGTTGATAGAGGCAAAATTTTCAAGGCCAAAATTGATGTTGCCATGGCAATATATAAATAACATAAGAAATATCTAATTAAGGTCACCAAGGTAAACTTATCAAGCATCCAGATAACTATTTTTGTAACTGTATAGTTCTAACTTTTCATGTATAACATTCAAAATCATTTTAACCAATAGCATCACAGCAGTTCATTTCTAAACTCAGATGAGAATCTTATTCTTGGGCGGAGCTACATCACAAAAAGTTCTATGTTGCTAAGACGCACACCACTGCAGAAATATATCTGGGCTCTGGCAAGCTGCTGAAGAAAACAGCACAACTCAACTATGAGACAAACCCCCAATTTAGTTAAATTAATGCATGTTGCACATGAAGGTGTAATCTTGTTACACTGTTCAGGAGTTTTAAGAGTTGTTTTCACCGGTTGTGGTTGACAAACAGTAAAAATGCACTCCAGAGAATTGTCTACTGCCAATAATTGTTGGCCCAAATTTCAACTTGAGCCATTCACTAAAATACAAAACCATAGAGGGCAGTATACAAAAATTGTGTGCATTCCTAAAACAGCGCCCTCTACAGTTTCCAGGAGTGTTCAGAGTTGTCAACATAACAAATAATTCTAATTCAGGATGACATATATAATATCAAATTACCAATAGATATTGAATAAAATGTTTCAAAAATATGATTACTGTAAAAATGAGTTGGCTTTCTAAGGGTTAATACAATTGAGTCTGCTTCGTTTGAAGACTTTACTGGGTGTTCAACAAATAAAAATATATAAAATATTCTGAGCATATTTTTTTTTCTCCACTGCCATTAATTTTCAAATGCCGCTAGCACTTGGACTGCGCATTGAAATAATTTGTATACTTACAAGACAAATCATATTGTTCTCAGTTAATCATGTAAGCTCTAACAATCCACCTAGAGCGATCAGAGAAGGCATAATCCAATACCAGCTATGTTACATATACGTTTCCCCTCAAGTCGTTTCCCATTATGCGATTTATTCGCTTGTTAGATTAAAAAAAGTTATTTTACCACTATTATTTTGTTCGTCATATCACTCTTTAATTTATTCTATTTTTAGATTTATTCACACATGTCACGTTTTGTATCAAAAGCTGCTAAGGTTGGTTGAGGATATTTTTGAAATAAGGTTCAGATCAAATTAAACCTTTGTTCTAACGAGTAAATAAAGTTTTGCTGAATAATTAATTAATTAATTGAATAATTTTGAGCTTAATTTTATTTTAAAATGATCATTACTTTGATTTGCATACCGTCAGAAAAATGTAACTCATGAATATTAAAATCTGATTCTGAAACCTCTGTCGACTTTGGTATTTATCTTTTTGAAGATGCCATAATTTACATTTCCATTTCGTTGTTCATTTTTGGACAAATGGACATAATTTCCCATTGGCTGAAGGTTTTGATGAAAATTTTGAAAGATTTTAGGAAAAGTAAAAAAAAGTTTACTTAGCCATTCAACCTGAATGAAAAGATTATTTGCAGTAAACTTTTTTTTTAATTTTAAATCACTCATACTTTTTGTCACACATGCAGGTCCAAAAATCTACAATATACACGAATAGGTCACTAAATTTGACTCGCTTCCATGGAAACTGTACTTTTATAATATCCTTGCAGTGCTAAAATTCAAAACGGCGGCCATTGATGAAAACTGTCATATTTGAAAGATTGTTGACTTACAATTTGTTCTGGCAATTTAAAAATCTACTGTTTAATTTATTTATAACTTGCAAAATCAGGAATCATTCAATGACATTTTGCATTACATATTACTACTCAATGGGAATTAATTACTGCTTGTTTGTTGTTCATTAATTGTCATTAATTGAAGGTGTATTGTCTAATATTAATTAATATAAACACTCAAAATATTTAATATGTGGGCAATATGACAACATGTATTTATATATAGCCTTGCTCTGCATTTACAAATAACTGTGTAGATTCAATTTCATTCGTTTTATCAATCTTTTTTAATCTTTGCCTATTTATAGAAAAATGTATATTTGTGTTTATTCATATCCTATTTATTTGACAGTAAATTTCTCAGAACAATCATTTTCAGAATTATCTGTTTTCTACGTATTTCCAAGAATGATGATGCATTTTTTATGCACATACTCCTACAGGAAACTACTGTACTCAGTCCCATTACTTGCAGTACACCTTCAAATGAGTTAAAAATTGATATAACAATTATTCTGCCACTGTCAGTCATACACTGTATATTGTATATTGTATACTGTTGATAATTTAAAGCGATTTGGGTCATATTATTTCACTACGTGTCTGTTTCTACTTCAACACCAGGCCATGTCTGACTGTTGAGAACCTTTCCTGACACATTTACATGGGAGATCAGGGGAGCAGCAAAAATGAATGACATATACCACTCAAGCTAATATCTAATATAATTTGACTGACATTTTTATACAGTTGTGAATTCTCATCCATTAAATCGAAAACGACTCAAAAAGTGAAGAAAATCCTGAAATATTGGATGATTTAAGTGGGTAAATACTGATTACTTTGATTAAGTTCTTCAGAATTTCATAATACAGTATTGTATGTTCATTTCAACAGGAATCAACCATTCATGAAGTAAGGAGTCAAGGTATGCAATCATAGGAGGGGAATCCCAGGTTCCAAGATTCATCGAACATTTAACACAAACATGCTTTCAAAATATAAAACTGTATGATTGTTGAGTTTCCACAGAACTTATTCATGCACTTATTTTTTTTTATTTACCAATTAATCAAAAATAGTTGCAAGACGTTGCAAGAAAACAGATGTTAAATGAAAATTATTTTTATTTAGAAACACAAAACTCTTCATGAATGAGGTGACACTGTAAGTGAAAAATCCATTATGCCCGGGAAAGGATTTTAATATCTTAGAGTGTATTTAGCTGCTAAAAATTATCTCCGGGGAAGGATAGGATTGAAATTAATGTGTAGGAATTAGAATGCAAAGGTGTGCGCCATGTGAGGATTAGTATATCCCGGCAAACATCAAAGAAGAAAGTTGAGAAAATGACGAGTCAGGGAAGGGGGAAAAAAAAGGTTGACCTTGCTGGAGGATAAGAGATGAACTTTCATAGATTCAAAATTTTTTAATTTAAAATTAACCTCCATCAATTTAGTACAACGAATCGATTGTAAGTTCATTTCATTTACATTTAACGTTTCTTGTTGAGCACAAAATTCATTGAATTATTTCGATCAAGTGAGTTTTTTTGTTACATGTTTTGCAGCTACTAGCTAAGTTTTACGGTTTTTAAAATGATTGCTGTACGTTTGCCTGATATGATTTGTTGGACAGCACTCAACAACAAAAAAGTAGTAATAAATGTAAACACATTAATAGGATGACTCAGATGAGAAGCTTTAAACTGAAATTGGAAAAAAAAAAATTAAACAAGACACCCTGCTACATTAGTTATCATATTGTGTGTTTGGGACTAGATTGTGGGTTGTGTGGCAATCTTCCAATCATATTTGCATTAGAGTACATGGAACTTCACTACAACATTCCCTCATAGTCATATAAACACTGTGTGTACATGTAAAACTAAAAGTAACATGATTCTGACAATTACTGATGAATGCCAGTGAAATCTGTCAGTCATAAAATTCACTAATTCAGTTTATAGTGACTGTAGCCATTAGTTCTGATGGTGCAAATTTACAGGAGAAGAAATTCAAACAAATAACACCAAAGTGACAGGAAAACATTAAAATAAACAGAAAATTGAGTGATTTATAAAAGACATAAACTATAAGGGTTCCATCATAGCATCTTGTAATTTGTTAAATTTAGCCTAATTTCAATGCTTTACTCCTAAATGTGAACACTATGTCATAAATTCAACTCATAGAAGGGCATTAAGATGAAACAAAGTAACACTTCAATGGAACTATTAATGTAAACAAAAAATATAAGTGACAAGGCCATGACCTAAGGCAATACGGCCACAATAATTTAGTTTCTTGTTTAACATTTCTGAAATTTAGTTTTCCAAGAATGATGATAAAATGGATGGCTTTTTGATACAATGTATGGCGCAAAATAAATAATGGGACCAACAGCGTACCCTTCTTACAGCACCATCCAAAATATGTCATGCATACAAATGGTTAATTCTTTGAAGGATCCAAATTTTTTCCTGCCAATGTGTCAGTCAGTTTATTTTGTATAAGGTGACGAAAGTTAACGTTCAAAGTATTAAATGCATGCATGATTGATGATGCACTTTTGACTGAAATGAAATAAAAATAAAAAATATTAAAACGTCAAAACTCAACAGCAATTAAAGTGATGGATGATGAGCATTTTAAAAAATCAACAGAAGATCAGAAGAACTTTGAACTTGAAAAAATACAATGTTTGTTGGAAGCTTACAATTGCACGATTCTCAAACATGGTTTGGTTTGACCATGAACAAGGTTTGAAATTGTTGTTTTCATTCGCTGGAGATGCACGTAACGGTCAGTAAATTGATAACTGAATCTCATTAAATGGTTGCTTTTGGGTGGTGTCATTTAAAATCCCTAAACCCTAATCTTGCCAGTCTCACGTACTTTTATATTGACTTGACCAGATAAGAGTTGCTTGTATGTTAAATTTCTTCATTTGTTTTCAGCTGTTTACTCACATCAATTTTGTTTCATACAGAATTTGAAATGTCTTTCCCAAGATTTCTGCTTACATGAAACGCAGGGAATACAGTTCTCAAATTTTTCACTCCCCCCACATTTCACTCTGCTAAACCCTTATTTTTCTGATTATTTTTTCTCTTCAACCCCCGTATTTTTCATGGCCCATCCCTTATTATTCATTCCACTTTTCTGGAAATTGGTCCTCTAGTGTTCAAAAGTAAGGTTTCTTTTGATTTAGTAGTACTCTGCAAACAATCACTGCCTTCATTCATTTATTAGAATGATTAAATTGCCATTAGTGAGAAAAAATGTAAATAACATGGAGCATTTAATCATTAATAATAAAACATTAGTAACTTTCACATAGACTGGTCATTTAAATCTGCTTTCCATAAAGCATATGAACAAAATCGCAATTACTTGACAATTTAGTCTTTGGGTGTAATTTACCCAATATTCATTCTACACACCATTAGCTTAATTTAACAAAAAAACCGTGGTCGGTGTTTCTTCTGAAGCCAGCAGGATATTGCGAAAACCAACCGTGAACTTATTGATCAGTATTGCTTAGTTCAATTAGATGAGTTCTTCAATCGGTACTTACAGCCTCGTTTAGGCTACTTTAGCAAATATTTTGAATTTTAAGTCTCCAAGCAATACTCACAGAGGTCAGATTTGGTTAGGTGCAATAATAATGATAATAAAACTGAGACCGTGGCGTTACAGCAATAGGATCGTGATTAAACTGAACAGTATGTTTGTTAGTTTAGTTTTTGCTAGTGTAATAATAAAAATAGCCATAGCCGAAGAACTATCAAAGTTTTGCATCCAACATAAATTTCAGAGAATGCAGATATTCATATATCAGTAAAGCGTGATAAATATCAACTATTATAACAGTTTAACTCTGATGAAGATATATCTACTCATCAGCGTGTGCGTGCTCATACATGTGCACATTACCAAAATGTGTCTGCTTTCAATTAGTTTTTGACGAATCACACATAGTAAATTGGTACTGTATCTAGCTTGATTATATTATGTTTATTGTGCAAGTATTTGCCTAAAATAGTGATGAAACAGTATTAGTCTGAAACTAGCTGGAATGAAATGCGATAATAGCGAGGAGAACTGCATGAAATTGACGGGAATGTAATCTAGCATTGAAATGGTTTCCAGTATTAAATTAATGATGTACACTATCACATTTTTGATGCATGACTTCTCAGAAAATTAGCGAGTTTATTTTTAAACGTCTGAGTTTGGAACAATTTGATTGTGAATCACACGCAAACAGACAGCCGAATGGACAGACAGTAAAACAACAACAGACAGGAGGTGTGTAACACAAAATATGAAAGATAAAATTTTCATTACAGAACATTTGCTTAGTTAGTGTTCTCATATCCTGCCAGTCAGATTATTTGGAATTATAGTACTGTACCATTTTCTGCTTCAGATATGTAATGTGTGAGGAGCATATGCTATGTTTTTCACCAAGTTTTTCAGATTTTGTAAACTACACACATATGGTCAAAACTACATTGTGGTACGAAATGAACAATGTATGGTGATATGGCATTCACAACATACATAATCATTATAACCATAAAAACAACTGAGAAATAATTGTGTGTCAATCAGTTGTCTAAGGTACAGTTTGTGTATATGTAGCACAAACATTTTACCCCATATCATTTGATTCAGTATCACATCGGCCATACTGGGGAAGTATTACATCACTGATTCAGATGCTCATTGGATCATCAGAAATTTGCTGGCATTTTTCAAAATGTCTTTAATTTATTCAATCATTTCAGAGAAAGAAAGTGTCAAAATGTTTTCAGTTAAATTCACTGTTTTACACCAAAAATGGCAAATAATTTTGACTACCAGGTAAGTGTCCCAAGCTGATTTAGAGACAACGCTTGATACAAATAAAATTATGAAAACAACAACAGAGGCCCCTTTAACAGGGTTTTGCATAAAGTGTGGGTCGGCACTAATAGAGCAAGTACGGTATTTAAAATAATCAGGACTCATTAATATTCATCTGATGTAATTTCCAAGCTCAATGACTTACAACTATAATTTGATTTCGTCTTTCAGAAGTACCAGAAAAAAACCTTCTCAAACAAAACAGAAATGGATTAAAATTTGAACTCTCATAACCTGGCTAACAAATAAAACAACTTAATATTCTTGCCGAGTTTAAAACACGATCAATTTTTAATCAGATTGCATTCATTGCATTGCAATTTGGATAAGACTAATTCCCCCGACAATGTTATTAAGTTTATGTTATAAATGAGATAATAATCAGTGACTTAGGGATGCTTGTTAGTAGATGAATAGAGACTTATTTAGGTGATGTCAGTTATACCAATAACGTGTTGATGTTTGTCGGCTGCTGTTAATGACGTGTTGAGATGTTTCTTTCGCAGAATGTTTCAATTTCAACAATTTTTCAATTTCTACAAGTGCCAGAACAGAACTACTGTACACGGATCAACATACAATATACATTGATACATGTACCACTTTCATGAAAGTAAATACAAGAGTCATACCGGTAGTAAATATGACAGTCATAGTAAACATGGTAGAGTCATAGTAAACATGGTAGAGTCATAGTAAATATGGTAGAGTCATAGTAAACATGGTAGAGTCATAGTAAACATGGTAGTCATAGTAAACATGGTAGAGTCATAGTAAACATGGCAGAGTCATAGTAAATATGGCAGAGTCATAGTAAATATGGCAGAGTCATAGTAAATATGGTAGAGTCATAGTAAATATGGTAGAGTCATAGTAAATATGGTAGAGTCATAGTAAATATGGTAGAGTCATAGTAAACATGGTAGAGTCATAGTAAACATGGTAGTCATAGTAAATATGGTAGAGTCATAGTAAACATGGTAGAGTCATAGTAAACATGGTAGAGTCATAGTAAACATGGTAGAGTCATAGTAAACATGATAGAGTCATAGTAAATATGGTAGAGTCATAGTAAATATGGTAGAGTCATAGTAAATATGGTAGAGTCAGTAAATATGGTAGAGTCATAGTAAATATGGTAGAGTCATAGTAAATATGGTAGAGTCATAGTAAATATGGTAGAGTCATAGCAAATATGGTAGAGTCAAGAAATGCAACAGAATCACAGTAAAGCATACAATTTTATAGCAGTCAACCTTTCACTGGGATAACATCGACATTTGTGATATTTCATCGCTATAATGATCATTCTTTTCACTGGTGTATGTTTGTTTGTTTTCTATCACCTCATTAGTTGAGCAAGGATCTGAATCTTTTGGGCAATGCTTGCATGATAACTACACTCACTGTTGTCATGGCAATAATAGTTTCAGCTACACTCACCGTTGTCTCCCTATTTTGGAATTCTGTCATCAAAGATGTATTTTCTTTTTCCAAATTACTGATGTGTGTTCGATATTTCTGTAAATTGTTCTGGAAACAAAGAAGAATTCTTTATTTTAGATGAGATAAACACAGCTTATAAACACATCCCACAAAATTCAAAGAAAAACTTAAAAAAGCTGTAGTAAGCACTTTTATCTACCGTGATGCACGTAATATCCAAAATATGAATGTTTTTTTTGTGAGTTTGATTTTTCAAAAGTATAAATTTGCAATATTATAGTATTTCCTGCACTAATTCGATATTAATGATTTTACAAGATGCTTTATTGCCAAATTACATCATTCATCTCATTTTACGGTTTAAGTATTGTAACACGTTTTATACAATTACTGGAGTCTATAAACAGGTACAAAATGTACATGTATAAAATGCACAGTGAAATATTAATGTTTCTTAGAACGAAAAAAAAAAGTCTATCTCTAGGGAGATGTTATTAAAGGATATATTATATGCGTACTATATTACATTTCAATATCAGCTTAATTGGGAAACACAATACAAGTATTCATAAATTATAAAATCTGCAGATTAACACAAACGCTGCAGTTACGATGTTAAAACACAAATACAGATTGACTGGGAATCCATTTTGTGAATTTAGACTTAAAATTAAACAGTGCCAGATAATCTTCTTGCCCAAATTTGGTACAAATATTTTTATGTAAAATTGTCTGTAAATTTTATAAATATTTTGGTCTATGCAGACAGTTTTAAAGATATTGCTTTTAGGTTTTGATCGAAAAAATTGTCATTTTTTATCAACATTTCATGTGAGAAGAGCAGACTATAAAAAATCGTTTTGTAGAAGTCAGTCATAAACATGAATAATATTTTTTATTTTTTCTGATTTCATAAAAAAGTATATTTAAGCATAAATAATTTTGTTTGATATTACATCTTGATAAATACAGTGTTACGGTTTAGTTTACTGGAAAAATGTAGTTTACACAACAAAAATACCATTTATTCAGTGAAATAAAATGCAAACATATGCATCTCCTGATTTATGTATTATGAAATTATTTTATTAACACATCTACTGATGTCATTAGATATCATGAATATATTGGCTACTGATGAAGACTTTGAATTTAATTTAAACATGCTGCACTTTTTGCCTATAAAATGAACAACAGAAGTATTACCGGGGTAAA